CCAGACTGGTCTTGAACCCGCGGGGCTTAGGCAATCCACTCACCTCAGCCTCCCAAAGGCACGGGATTACAGGCTGAGCCACTGAGCCCGGCTCAAAAAATATTTTTTAAAGTAAAAATAGCCAGGTGCAATGGTTCATACCTGTAATCCCATCACTTTGGAAGGCAAAGGCGAGAGGACTGCCTAAGCTCGGGGGTTCAAGACCAGCCTGAGTAATTTGGTAAGACCTTGTCTCTACAACAAATCAAAAAATCAGCCAGGCACGGTGGCAGGTACCTGTGGATTCTAGTTACTTGAAAGACTAAGGTAGACCTGAGCCTACAGTTGGAGGCTGTGGTGGCCATGAACATGCCATTGCACTCCAGCCTGGGTGACAGAGTGAGATTCTGACTCAAAAGAAAAAAAAAGCTATTTCACTGCCTCTTTGCAATCAATCTACCTTTGACTTCAACTCTTATTCCCAAAGTAGATGGTACTACCAAATCTCCCATGAAATTCAATGCAAGATTGAGACACAAAATAGATGAAGAAACCACAGGAGACTCAACTGTTAAGACTCAAATGACCAGAATCTACTAACCCTGAAACTTACTGATTGTCTGTAAGAGAGAGAAGATACTTTTCCCATCTATCTACAATATGAACCCTATTAATTACAGCAAATAATGATTTTTTTAAAGGGTCAAAATACCAGGCTGAAAAATTTTCAAAAACTTGGGAAGGAGTCTTAAAAAAATTTTAAAAAACAGAGCCAGCTTCTGGGGTAACCTTAGAAGAACTCACTTAACCTTGGCCCCCTGTACCTGTGTGTATTTGTGGACATGATGGGGCAATGGCTACTTGTTCTAAAAGGGTCCACAAGGGCTGTTCCCATATTATGCTTCTAGAATTGAAAATCAAAAGCTAAACGCTTCCAGAATTTAGGATTCTAAGTTATCAGAGTTTTCCTGAGCAACTGAGCACTCTCTGTCGCGGATATTACATGCTGTCCTCAGACCCTGCTCGGTCCTGGCCATCGGAGGAATGTCACAGGAATGGGAATGGCTGCACCCAAGAGAACAGAAGCAGCCAGCTGGCCCGAGACCTCCCAGGCACTTTCATGTATGCACACTCGTCATGCTTCCAATTAGAAACGTGTTTCGGCTCAACATCTGAGAGTGATTTCCGCCCCTGCCCCTCCCAAGGTGCTCTGCAAATGTGTCCTCATCCCCCGGGAAGGCTGCTCCATGCAGAAGCTGGCACCCAGGTGGAAGCCAAGGGTTGATGTCAGTCACCACGCCACCAAGAATGTGCCACAAGAACCTATCTCCAGGACAGACTAGAAATGGAAGGAGCAAAGCCATAGTTTTTTTTAACTCTTTGAATTCTGCATGCAGTAGGGTCGGGGGGCAGTGAAACACTAATAAAAAATACTCACAAATTTTTTTTTTTTTTTGAGTTGGAGTCACTCTGTCACCCAGACTGGAGTGCAGTGGCCGCTCCCGGCCACCGCAGCCTCAACCTGCTGGGCTCTGGCGATCCTTCCACCTCAGCCTTCCAAGTAGCTGGAACTATAGGCATGCTACCATGCCCAGCTAATTTTTTATTTATTGTAAAGATGAGGTCTCGCCAAGTTGCCCAGGCGGGTCTCGAACCCCCAAGCTCAGGCAATCCACTCACCTAAGCCTCCCAAAGGCGTGAGATTACAGGCTGAGCCACCAAGCCCGGCACAAACATTTTTTTTTTTTTTGGACTCAGAGTCTTACTCTGTTCCCCAGGCTGAAGTACAATGGCATGCTCATGGCCACAGCAGCCTCGACCTGCTGGGCTCAGGTGATCCTTCTGCCTCAGCCTTCTAAGTAGCTGGAACTACAGGTGTGCACCATCGTGCCCAGCTAATTTTTTTTATTTATTGTAGAGATGAAGTCTTGCCAAGTTGCCCAGGCTAGTCTCGAACCGGGCTCAGGCAATCCTCTTGCCTCAGGCAATCCTCTTGCCTCGGTCACCCTGCTGGGGTGACAGACTTGAGCCACAGCGCTGGCATCCCAAACATTCCTTCTGGCAGAAAAAAAAGAATGTGTTGTACAGTAGCAGGACGGCACACAACACCACCCTTTTGTAGCTCACTTGGAAGAACAATAAGAGAATGAAAAGACAATTTCCTCTTCCACCTCACCCCACCCAGGCTCAGGCAGGAGACCCTGGAGCCTACAGGTGAGGAAAAGTTGGACAGAGTCCCTAACTGCTGAGACAAGTCCCTCATCCAACGTGAAAAAGCAAAGCCCACGGCCTCCGATCCCATTTCATCAAGCCATTTTTCCTGCACCCAATGCAGTGGCAGTTCTCACATGGCCGTGAGGACACACGGTCCCCCAAGCATGGCGCCCTGGCCTGCTGCATCTGACCCTGGAGCCCAGCAATCTGGGACTGCCCTCCGGGTGACTCCCACCCATGGTCAAGTTTGAGGACCACTGACAGATTGCATTTGGAAATTGACAGCCTTCCACCAGCAAGGCTTTGAAGATTATGTTTGCATACGTGCAAGTTTCGTGTTTTTCCACTATAACTGCTTTTCCTTGACTAAATTCTTAGCCATGGGGTAAAAGTGTGTGCTTTATCTCGCCCTTTCATTTTTAATGCAGAGGGTATGTTTTCCATGTCTATTCATCTCCAAAAGCCAATGCAAAATGTTGCAGGCATTTACGAGAAAACTGTTACTATGACTGAGATGTTGGGCTGTATGAGATATTATAAAAAACATCATAGAAGTACTTTCTAAACATGGGTTTTTTCCCCCCAAGTCGATTCTGGCCAGGCACTGTACTGAGGTTCCCACGATGAAGAGAGGCTCCATGCAGATCTTATCAGCACCTTGGGCTGGGTTCTGATCATGAGAATCACCTGGGGAGCTTTAAAAACTCTTGCAGTCCAGGCCCAGCTCCAGAATCAGAATCTCCAGGGAGTCTACCCTCCTCCCTGCCACGCCCTCCACCTCACCCCTCCCCCACACCCACTTCAGCCCTTTTTAACTCCCTGGATGATGGAAATGTACAGCCAAATCTGAGAAGTGGTCAGTTGGGGAACACAATCTTAATCCAAGCGTGCTGACAGACTAGTCGAAGTCTTGGAATCATTTTTGCTCCTTCATTCGAACACATTTTAGCTGACCATGGGAAAATCTCAAGATCACCCATGTCTGGTCCCAGCCCTCCATCTCCCGCTAGTCCGTCCCTGAAGCTTGTCAGTTCCGGGGGGTCCCACCTCCTCATTTCTACACACAGGGCACCCTGTCCAGGAACCCAGGCCCCTCCATCCAACAAATGGAGGCAGACTCTCGGCTGTCAAGTCCTTCCTTCTCCACAAAGTCTCTCCCAAACGCCCACCCACCCCGGCCACAACCATCTGGTTCCCGTCCCGTGTCTGTCATCCAGTCGCATCTCACATATTATTCATCATCTTTTGACAGACTTCTCTCCTCTCTGCCAGCTTGATTACAACCCGTGAGGTCCACTCAGCAGCTTAGGCAGAACTCTCCAGACCCTGGGTCAGGAGCCTGAACCTCATCTTGGTTGACAGCCTGGCAAATATGCGGAGTCACGACTTTCCAAGTGATGCTGGGACTTAAAGGCATCTGTCAAGAAAAGGTGGCCAGCCGGGCTCGGTGGCTCAGCCTGTAATCCCAGCACTTTGGGAGGCTGAGACAAGTGGATTGCCTGAGCCCATGGGTTCAAGACCAACCCAGGCTACTTTGCGAGACCTCATCTCTACAATAAATAAAAAAAAAATTAGCCAGGTGTGGTAGCACGCGCCTGTAGTTCCGTCTACTTGGAAGACTGAGGCAGAAGGATCACAAGAGCCCAGCAAGTCAACACTGGGGTGGTCATGAGTGTGCCTCTGCACTCCAGCCTGAGCAACAGAGTGAGACTCAAAAAAAAGAAAAAGAAAGAAAAAAAAAGAAAAGGTGGCCAGTGGGCTCTCAATCCATGAGACAACTGTGTCTACAGCTGCAGACCTGGGTCCAAATCATTCAATCTGACAGTCCCCAAACCTTCAAGGCACATGTTTTCCCATCAAAAGTAGTATTCAAATATATTCTGCAAATACTAAAGGTCTGCAATGACATTTAACAGTGCGTTATAGAAACAGTTTCAGAAGCCAGACCCAATGTGTTCTAGAAGAACTCTGAAGGGTAGTGACACTGACACAAAATGACCAAGGACAAAGAGAACTCACCAAGGGCTGGTGGGAGCTGTGACAAGTTTCTACCCATGCAGAAGGACACTGAGGCCAGGGACGCTGGCTCACACCTATAATCCCAGCACTTTGGAAGGCCAAGGCAGGGGAATTGCTTGAGCCCAGGAGTTCAAGACCAGCCTGGGCAACATCGTGAGCTCTCATTTTTACAAAAAATTTAAAAATTTGCCAGGCATGGCGGTGCACGCCTGTAGTCCCAGCTACTCAGGAGGCTGAGGCAGAAGGATCGTCTGAGCCCAGGAAGTCAAGTCGAGGCTGCGGTGGCCATGATCATGCCACTGCACTCCAACCTGGGTGAGAGTGAGACCCCAACTCAAAAAAAAAATGATGAAAAAGAACTGCTTTTGGATCCTGGACTACCAACAGCAACAGTCTTCCAACAGGAAGACTGTGATTCCCAAGGAAAAGGAGTCAAACGAGGTGGCCCTACGATGGCCCAACCTTCTGCAGAAAGTACTGTGTGGACTTCAGCACGGGGGAGACCCAGACAGAGCACAGTGGTGGCGCTGAGCTGAGGGGATGGGTTGTGAGGCTGCTAGAAGCAGCAGGGCAGAGGGCTGGAGAGAAGAGACCTGCACAGAGACCGCCCAGAAATCGCCAAGCGATACTGAACTGTACAGGCTGAGGGTGAGATCAGACCAACAACCAACCAGGACCTGAGAGCTGCAAATTTCCAGAGCTCCCTTCCCTAGCATGCTGTCCCCGTCCTGAGCTGCGAGAACCAGGACATTCTGTAGTGACCTCAGAATCACAATTAATTGCAAATGATGGAACAGCCTCAATGTCAAAGTCAGACAGGAGTAGCATCCATGAAAACCAACAACACACAGGCCAGGCACAGGGCTCACATCTGTAATCCCAGCGCTCTGGGAGGCCAAAGTGGAAGGGGAGGATTGCCCGAGACCAGGAGTTCAAGATCAGCCTGGGCAACATAGCAAGAATCCATCTCTACAAAAAAAAAAAAAATTAGCTGGGTGTGGTGACACGTGCCTGTAGCTCCAGCTACTTGGGAGGCTGAGGCGGGAGGAGCACTTGAGCCCAGAAGTTCGAGACTGCAGTGAGCTACGGTCATGCCACTACACTCCAGCCTGGACGACAGAGCTAGATCAGGAAGGAAGAGAGGGAGAGCGGGAAGAAGGAAAGCAAGCCGGCTAACACGCAAATCACAGTTACTAATAATCCAAAATACCTAAATAAAATATTAGTAAAGCAAACATATCAGTATTTCAAAAACAAAAAAGCAAGTAGAATTAATTCCAGTGGTACACAAATATAATGGAATATTATGTAGCCATGAGGAACAACAAATATATGGCCTTTGCAGCAACCTGGATGGATTTGGAGTCGATCGTACTCAGTGATTCATCACAGAAACAAAGAACAGGGTTCCATATGTTCTCACTCATAAGAGGACCTGGAACAATTATATGCTATAAGAAAGCGATTGGCAGTAATGGGAAACTGTCGGCTAGGGGGGAGGGATTGGCAGTTGAGGGAAACTGCTAGGGGAGGGAGGGGCATACCTCATTAACAGGGGTACCTGCATGATCAGTGTTTGTATACCTAACCCTGAATTGTATCCCACATCTTTACAATAAAAATTTTTTAAAAAAGAAAGAAAAAAAGAAAAGAATGGCTCTAATGTTAACAACATCTTGACACACTGCCTGGGACCTCCAAATCTACCAATATCAATCCATCAGTAAATCTATCAATAAATGCAATACCTCATATTTATTTATTTTTTTTATTTTTATTTTTTATTTTTTTTTCATTAATCAGTATTTTTTATTATGGTTTTGTGGG